TGTGTTTTTTTTTTTCTCTGTCTCCGAGATGGGCCCCTCACGGAAAACACATCTAAGCAGAACCCTGGAGGGCGAGGAATATCTGCCAGCTGGATAGGTGGACTGGAAGGAGATTCCAGGCAGGAAACACAGACGCAAAGCTGGATGCGTGGGAAGGCCTGGGACCTTTGGGGAACGCTGAGCCCTCATGGACCTGTTAGGAGCAATGGCACCTGGATCCCCTTCCGTGTGCCTGAGGCGTGCCATTGACTTCTAGGTGAGACCTTTGAGTATCACTGTGCCTCAGTTCCCAAGAAGCCATTCTAGTTCAAGTTCCAGTTCCATGGGCAACCTAAACATAGAACCAACCTTTCTTGTAAAGATTTGTGATGTCCTTGGCCACCAGAGACGCTCTGACTGGAGGAGGGTCATGAACTTGACTCAAGGGGGTGGACTGCAGCCGCCCCTCCCCACGGTGACGGCATCCGTGCTCACTTGTTTCTCAGCTGCTGTGTGTGGGCTTTTGTTTTTCTGCTTATTTTAAGGGCAGCTGACGTCCTAAATGCAGCATTGACGATTATTTTGGTTTGTTCTGAATGATGGTGGACTTTTTTGTCGTTTAATCTGCGCTGCTTGGCTAAGTACTCAAGTCTTTTCCCCATGGGCAGATAGACCACATTCTATTGACAGGGTTTTAACATGATTATGTGCATTGCTTAAACATGGCTCAGACTGTCTTGTTAATATTATTATTGATATTATTTGCTGGTCTTTTTTAGCATCTATATTGAAAATATTAATGGAGAAAAGAGAATTTTCCTCCACATTTTATTTGTTTAATTTAATTTATTAATTTTTTTGAGTCAGAGTCTGACTCTGTCACCCAGGCTGGAGTACAGCAGCACAGTCAGGGTTACCTCAGCCTCGACCTGCTGGGCTTGGACGATCCATCCACCTCAGTCTTCCAAGTAGCTGTGCCACCATGCCCAGCTAATTTTTTGATTTATTGTAGAGATGGCGGACTCGCCAAGTTGCCCACGCAGGTCTCAAACCCCTGGACTCAGGCAATCCTCTCACCTCAGCCGCCCAAAGTACTGGGATTATAGGCATGAGCCACCGTGCCAGGCCATGCTCTAGATTTTAAAATATTATATTAAGATGGAAATAAATAGAGCCCACATAGAGGAGCAGAAAGGCATCCCTCCCCGTTCCTCTTTCTTCTTTCTCATACTCGTGAACTCGGTGTTTGTTATTCTTATCTACTGGTCTCACTTCCATGGAATTCGAATACTGCTGACCTACTGACCAGCTTCCAATCAGAGTCGACCAAATCCCTTGTGGGATGAAAGGCATGGTATTCTGCTTAAAGAAATTCAGGAATGGAAAACTCCCAGTCCTCTTTCAACCTTCATGATTAGGTTGAACAGTCTCTTTAGGTTTAACAGCCTCTTGGTGTTAGGGGAGGAAGGAGATGAGAAGCTAGAGCAGGGTCGGGCATGGTGGCTCATGCCTATAATCCTGGCATTTTGGGAGGCCGAGGTGAGAGGATTGCCTGAGCCCATGGGTTTGAGACCAGCCTGGGCAACTTGGCGAGACCTCATCTCTGTAATAAATCAAAAACTTAGCCTGGCCTGGTCACACGCGCCTGTAGTTCCAGCTACTTGGAAGACTGAGGTGGAAGGATCACCTGAGCCCCAGTAGGTCAAGGCTGAGGTGGCTGTGAGCGTGCCACTGCACTCCAGCCTGGGCGACAGAGTAAGACTCCAACTCAAAAAAAAAAGGAAAGACGTTAGAACAATAGGGTCCATTCAGGACCATACTCATGATTCAGGTAAGAATTAGAATTTTATGCTGAAAACAATGGGAAATTTCATTTATTCATAGGCACGGTCAAAGTTGTGGTTTAGAAGGAAAAGTTCCTGAAGCCATGTGAGGACGGCCCAGAGACAGGAAAGACCCCTGCCATAAGGCTGAGAAGAGATAATATGGAATAAATCCTGGCAGCTCTGGGGATGGGCCTTAGCCCTGACCTGGAGAGCTCACAGGTTTCGTACTTGCTACTTCAGGTAGGATTGCTTTCCAACTTAGCATAGGGCGTGCCTCAGGCAGACACTTCTGCTTCCACCTAGCATATTGACCTTGACCTTTTTAGCTAAGTGGTCAAGAGGTCACTCTCTCCATCAGGATCATTGCTTCGTCAAACTCCTTAGCACTGGACATGCATTATCTGTTTTAATCTTCATAGCAACCATGTGAGTTAGTTACCATCTTTACTCCATCTTAAAAGAGAGAAAAAAGAGACACAGAGTGGTTTACTACCTCGTCCGAAATTACTAGAAAAAGTCTGAGATGAATTGCTTTTAACTTCAATTTGACTTTACCATTTTCCTACATTGCTTTTCCCAAGTGATAACCCCAAATGAATATTAATTAAGGAATTACTATGTGCCAAGCACTGTTCTAAGTCCCTTACATGTAACATTCCATTGAATCATCAACACAACCCTTTGAAGTAGAAAATGTTGGCTTTATTTTATAGTTGAGGAAACTGAGGTAAGATGATCAAGACAGCACAACCCTGGAGCCTGATCCTGACTCTTTCTAATGTGAAGGCTTATTATTTTATTCTCCACAATGACAGGAAGAAGAAAAAGGCGGTGTTGTAATTTAAATCATCATTAATAGAGCCTTAATGTTACTGTGCAGCTGTAAGCCACACCCAATACCAGATTTGAATGGACAGAGCCGATTATCAATATCCACAGTTTTGCACCTGTCCTTGCCAAAATGACCCCTTAGTATAGTGGAGAAGTCAAGGAGAGCTGGCTAGGCGTGAGTGGTTGGTGCTCCAATCTTGCTTCTGCTGTGAACAATCTTTGTGATTTCTATAGTCTGAATGCTTATTTCCCTCCAAAACTCATGTTGAGCTCTAATTCTTACTATGGTGGTATTAAGAGGTAGAGTCTTAGGAAGTGATTGGGTCATGAGGGTGGAGCTCTTACGCATGGGATTAGTGCCCTTAAAAAAGAGACTTTGGGGTTTCTGCCATTTCCGCCATGTGAGGTAACAGGGAGAAGGCACAGTTACTATTTTACTTTTTGTGTTAGAGTCTCACTCTGTGCCCAGGTGGGAGTGCAGTGGCATGCACACGGCCACCACAACCTCGACCTGCTTGCTCAAGTGATCCTTCTGCCTCAACCTTCTAAGCAGCTGGAACCACCGATGTACATCACCACAACTGGCTAATTTATTTTTATTTTTAATTTTAGAGATGAGGTCTCGTCAAGTTGCCCAGGCTGGTCTTGAACCTCTGGGCTCAGGCAATCCTCTTACCTCAGCCTCCCAAAGTGCTGGGATTACAGGTGTGAGGCACTGCACCTGGTGCACCATTGTTGAAGTGCGGAGTCAGTCTTTACTAGATGTCAAATCTGCTGGCACCTTGATCTTGGGCTTCTCAGCCTCCAGAACTGTGAGCAATAAGTTTCTGTTGCTTATTAATTACCCAGTCTAAGCCATTCTGTCATAGCAGCCCAAAAGAATTAAGACAGTGATCCTTGGGTGGGTCACTTAGCATCACTGGGCTTTAATTTTTTCATTTCAAAAATTCAAGAAAGGAACTTGAGATCCAACAATGTCCCCACCTATCTGTGATTCTTTCTATGTTTTTTCCCCAGCTACAGTAGAAAATGACTTTAAAAAATGACAGAAAATTTAAATGACAAAATACTTTAAGAAATGCAACAAAATTATTTTTTAGTGTTTCCAAAGATGAGGGCAAGGAGTGTTTGCAGAAACATTAGAAGTTGTATTTTAATATTTCTTTCTCCTAGAATTATATACATACATGCATGTAAGCCACATCTTTGTACATAAAACAATCCAAATCAACGACTCTGGTGACTAACATCTTTATTAAAAAAATAAGATTTAAATAAATTAAACAATATGAGTGTGAAACAAATGCATAAAGTTAATATCTTTGAAAGAAATCAACCCATGAAATAGTTTTGATATATACTGTCTTGAAAAAAAATCCTAGATTTGGGAGAAGATGGGTAGACAAAAGAGAAGACTGACAGAGACAGGATCCTAGAAAATTCCAATTTTTCCTCCCTTGTTGCTAATTCTTTCTAAAAGAGCTGTTTCTTTATGCAAATGTACTTATAGATAAATTAAACATATTAGGTTGCTGAGATTGCTTTCAAACCTACCTTTAAGCTTTCTCTCTTCCCAAAGGAGTGGATCTTAGAGAGGACAGTGTGAGATTGTTAATTTTTTCATCCTCAAAAGGAAATTTTATAGGAACCTGGTAGCCTCTGATCAATTTGTTTAAGTAATGAATAGATAGTGGCTAATTTTCATAGTTCCAAATTAAAACTCCTTGCTTTTGCTGCTAACAAAGGCCTTGGTAGTAATAGCTTGGATGTCCTGAACTCTGTCAGTCCCATCTGGACTGAGCTATTTGGGAAGATTCATCCTATCTCAATGCCCCATGTGCTGGAAGAGGGGTGAGGTGGGACCAAGGCCCCCACACCCGGCGACTGTCCTTGCTGGAGACAGCCTCATCAGCCCGCCCCAAATGTCCTCTTCCAGCGTTTTCCTACCCTTGGCTTTCCAGATTGTCCTTTCCTTAAGGAAGTCATTGTTGGGTTTCTCACTGAGTCCCAGGCAGAGCGCTAGGCATTAAGGCTACAACCCTGGAGAAAACCCTGACCTTGCTCTTGAGGGTCCAGGAGTCTAACAACAGAATCACTTCCTCTCCAACCATCATCCCTCTCTCTGGGCTTATGAATCCCTCTCTCTAGTAGGAGGGGATTGCCTGAGAAGCTTTCTTAAGATTATTGAAGAGGAAAATACCAATGAGTCTGTGAGTTAAGACTGAATATAAGACTTATAGAACCAGACCTAGGAGTACAGGGCTGAGTGATGACAGATCCTGGCCCTGGCAATCAATTCTCAGAGCTCCCCCTCTGCCAATAGACCAAGGATCAGTGGGGTCTGACAATCCCCTGTGGTTTGCACCCTGGGCAGGTCGCACACACACAGACTTTGTGGACCTCTTGGTCCCTCCGGACAAGGGTAGGTGGCCCGAAATGTCCGCTGTTTATTCTTTCATTTCCCCAAAGGAGCAGTAGCTGGGTCCCAGGCCTTGCACGGTGCAGTCAGTGCTGTCACTGTCACACTTGCCACAGTGACATTCGGTGGCCACCAGATAAGTGTACAGAGAATCTGCATGGTGAGCACAGCCGGGCACTTGCACTGTCTCATACACCAGCTCTTTGAAGGTACATATTTTCTGGGTGTTGGGACGGGCTGGGTCCTTATACACCAGGTCCTGCGAAGTTCAGGAAGGGGATGTTTAGATGACAATATTCTGGAAGTTTCTTCTTGGCTCAGTAATTTATGCTTGCTCTAGCATTTAGTCATTAAAGCCACATGACTGCATTAGTGTTATACCACAAGTCCTAATTGTTCTGGAGATCTATAGAAAATATAAATCTTTCCTGTTCTTACTCCCTATGGCTACATCAAAATGTCAATTATTTTTCAGAATACAAAGGAACTTTAAATTTTGATATAGAAAAATAGTAAAAGGGAAAATATGACTTAAGTTGATTTTTGTACCTAATTGAGAGCTATATTAATGACAACTTAAGCCAAAAACATAGAAATTTAATTTATCAGAAAAAAGCATTTCCAAATACATTGTCCTTATGTATTTATAAAAAAGTAAAAACTACATAACCTTAAATATTAATGCTTAGCTTAATGTGTTTCTAAAGGCTCATTTAAGATTTTAAATACTCCAATGTCTTGTAAACATTGCCCCCGCTGAAAACCTGTACTTTGCAGGGCTCTAACTTCAAAGGACACACAGTTTGCATATATTATATAAGAATTTTTAAGCCAGGCAAAAAACATTTGTTCTGGTACTTTCCAGGAGAAAAATTATTTGCACAGCATGGAGAAATTGGGGCTGCTATTTAATGTATCTTAATATCATCCCCCCAGGCCTATATCCTAAGGAGGTGCAACAAATTATGCAATAAATAGAGTTCGATCAAACTCATTTACCATCAAATAAAGTCTATTTTATTATAAAAGTTGCTATTTTTAATTTCAGTGCATAGCACGACATTCTGTGTGGATTACTAAGGGGTGCCAAAGGAGAAAAAAGAAAACAGAGTGGAAACTGCTTCTTTACTTAGGTGAGTGCAAGAAAGTTGTACACATGCAGAATGACATCTGCATGCAGAATGACAACTGACATCTCTGTGTTTTGGTCTTCTCAATGCTCTCATGAAGGGATAGGTTTGCTGATTTGTGTCTGTTACAACCATTTGCAAGAGTTGATTGTGCTCTCAGGCTCTTTATTGGCATTTATATCCCAGCAGGCCAAGAAGACAATTTTTTATAATGTGGTTGTTTGCATTTTCTTTTCTTTCTTTTTTTTTTTTTTGAGTTAGAGTCTCACTCTGTCGCCCAGGCTAAAGGGCAGTGGCATGCTCATGGTCACCACAGCCTCGACCTGCTGGGTTCAGGTGATCCTTCCACCTAAGCCTTCCAAGTAACATGGTACACCCAGCTAATTTTTTGATTTATTGTAGAGACGAGATCTCGCCAAATTGCCTGGGCTGGTCTCGAACCCCTGGGCTTAGGCAGTCCTCTTGCCTCTGCCTCCCAAAGTGCTGAGCCACTACAGCTGGCCTGGTTGTTTGCATTTTCACATAATTTGGAAACATATTTTCCATCTCTGTGACAAAGATATGGCCTCGATACAGGAATAGCCTTTTTGAGAGTATCATAGGTCCTTCATGACTGAATATATATGCTTCTATGTTTATCTTTATATAGTAAAACATTAACTATAATTTTTTGGCAGATCTGGAGTTGACATATTACCCAACTGATCAGATTAAATCTGAGGCTTTCTTCAATTTACTCAAATCAAATCCTAGACCAAACGTCTAACCCCAAGTCAAAACACAGCCAGTATTGGCTAAGGGTCTCGTGACGGTTAGTTAGGAAACCTAAAACATTGATAAGGTGGATATTCGTGAGGCCTGCCTCCTATAGACCCTGACACTCTCCCTTCCCGCAGAATACAGAACGTGGTACCTACCCGGGTGTAGCAGTAGCCAGCGCACCACGTGGTGTTGACGCTTATGCAGAAGTGACACTCCTCTTTCTCCACAGCAATGGTGATGTTGGTCAGCCCACAGCCACTGCAGCAGATGGCTCTCCAGCAACAGAAAAGGAAGCAAAACTGGACGTACTTCATCCTGGGCTGGGAGGCAAACCATCAAGCCCATTAGAAACCGAGAAACCAAAAAAAGCATTAAGTATGCAAGTTGACCAAATGAAAACTGATCTACCTCCCTTCCTCCACCACATTTTGCTTCAAAGAGTTTGTTTCCTTGCCTTTTCTTTTTCTTTCATTTTATTTTACTTCTTTAATCCTTAGACCAATATTCCTCCTTCTAGTCCTCCTCCTTTTTTGTTTGTCAAAGTAGAAAAACATTATATATCAAAACTCCAGTTTAATGATTTAAACAGAGCAGTGTTTAAAGATTTGAGTATTCCTGCTGTCTGTTGTATAGTGATGACCCTGAAGCAAGTAATTATGATCACTGTATTTTTCTTACCTTATCATTTTAAAGACTACTTTTGCTTAAAAAGAAAATTCTATACTACAAAGTTATTTCTTCAATTTTAGCATCACGTAACTATTGCTATTTGCTTTTGCCCACATTTATTTGAAATAAGACCATGTCAGAAGACAGGCATATGGGTTCATAAAGGCTATTGCTTGCTAACAGCGATGACAATGGATTCACCAATTTAAGAAGCCAGGTTGGCAGGCATACGTTTCCTACACATCCGTAGTAAGAATGCTCTAGACTTGTTTTCCAGGTTCTGAAAAATCTGTAATCTCAAAAGCAGTTGTCACCATTTGAAAACTGCAGATTCCAAGACTCACCTGTGGCTGGCTGCCTTACCTGGGGAAAGCTGTAGACTGAGTCCGGTCCCAGTTCACCTTTTATACAAAATCACGGGCAACCAAATACCTCGTGGATTTGCTGGGTATTACTATGACCAATGCTAGCTTTAAGCTTGTTGTAAGTGAATCGGTGTTTAGCTGAACAGGGAGATCAAGCCGTTCTGAAATAGTCTAAACCCAGCGGATCTGAAAAAACTAATGTTACCAGAGATGAGGATATTGTATAAATTAAACTTGAACCAGGAGCATGCCCACTCTTTCACCTTGTCAGATTAAATGTGACTCGAATTTTTCTTTTGTGCCTTTAACTCAGGGAATTCAGAATCCTTCCAAGTATTGCTCTGGGTCTGTTGAGGAGATGCAGCAAAAAGATATGGGCAATCAATTGCTTCGAGAGCATACTGAATGCTGCTAGGGAAGAACTAAAGAGAAAGCACTTCACATTCTGACTCCTGTCCAAAGCATAACGTCTGTCTTTCTTTACTGTTCTCATCCGGGTCTCCTAAGCTCAATTCTTAATTTTGCTACTGGTAGCAAAAACTTCCTCCTTATGCCCTAAACATGCTGACAGTTCACGTCTTTAGGTCTTTGCACGTGATGTTCTTTCTGCCTGACTCGTCCTTGTTTTCTCCCTGTCTCCCTCAATGTCACCCCCACCTCTGGCAAATGCCCCCACCTTCCACACTCAGGGGTGTTTTCCATGTCGGGGTTTAGGATGTTGGTGAGGGACAGCTTTAACCACTACCGTTTGTTTGTAATCATTTATTTACTTGTTTCTTCCAGTAGAGCTCCTTGGGAACTGAGATGGATTTACTGAATAAACGCTGATTGATTATGCACAACAAAAGGACAGTGGCACCATATTAGGGTGTGGTGTCAGGAGTCAAATCATGTAGGACCTTTTAAGTCAATCTGAAGATTTTGGTTTATACTCTAGGTGTAACGGGGCCCATTGCAGGATTTTGAGCAGAGGAGCAACATGATCTGATTAGGGTCCCAAAGGATCCCCCAACTGCTATTGCTGACATCGGGCAGCAAAGATAGAGACAGGAAGACCTGTTAGGATGCTATTGCAGCAACCAGGTAAGAAATGATGTTTGTTCAGACTAGAGCAGTAGCGATGGAAGTCACGAGGTGTGATCTGGTTCTGGATGTGTTTTGAAAGAATTAACAGAATATTCTGTCGGATAGATGTTGAGTCTGAGGGAAGGAAAAGCATCAAGGATGACTCTAAAGTTTGTGGCGTGAATAACCAGAAGGATAAACTTGTTACCGAGTGAGAGGGGATGGCTGCAGATGTAGTGCTTGGGGGGAAGGGATAAGGAATTCTTTGTGGACACAAGGAGCTTGAGATGTCTGTAACACATCCAGAGGGTGATAAAGGTTCTGTTTCTTTTTGCAAAGGAGACTGAGGGCTGGGTGCAGTGGCTCAAACCTATAATCCCAGCACTTTGGGAGGCTGAGGTGAGAGGATTGCCTGAGCTCACGGGTTCAAGACCAGCCTGGGCCACTTGATGAGACCTCATCTCTACAATAAATCAAAAAAATTAGCTGGGCATGGTGGCATGTGTCTGTGGTTCCAGCTACTTGGAAGGCTGAGGTGGAAGGATCGCCTGAGCCCAGCAGGTCGAGGTTGTAGTGGCCATGAGCGTGCCACTGCACTCCAACCTGGGTGATAGAGTGAGACTGCAACTCACAAACAAACAAACAAATAAACAAAAAACACAAAGGGGACTGGGAAGGGCCATCAAGGAAGGCAGAGGATGAAGAGAATGTGCTGTCCCAGAAGCCAAGTAAACAGGGAGTGTCAAGGAGGAGCAAGACACACTTGTGCCACATTTTACTGGCAGGTGAAATATATGGCAATGTCAAAGCCACTGGTGTCATTGGCTAGAGAAGTCACTTTGGAGCAATGACAGCAAAAACCTGATTGGTGTGTGTTTAAGGGATTGGGAGGAGTGACTCACAGCAAATATAGACAACTTTCCCAGAAAATCAACAAAGAAGGGGGTGACTGAGTCATGTGAAAGTGGGGAAAAGATCATTTTCTTTTGATTTTTAATTTTAAGACAGGAGAAATAAGTGCATATTTGTCTAGTGGTGGAAATAATTGGGTACAGAGAAAAATGATGATGCCAGAGACAGAAGAATTTCTGAATATTCTTGAAGAGGTGAGAAGAGGTGGATTTTGGAGCAGAAGTGAAGGGACTTTAGTAGGAACCTGGAGAGCTCAGACCATAGCAGGTGGGAGGGCAGAGCCTGATGGTGCTGATGTTGGGGGGTGGAGAGAGGTGATGGGTGTAGGTACTGGTGGGTGGGGGTGGGTAAGTGTAGATGCTGACAGGGTGGATGGGTGTAGATGGTGGTGGGTGGGGAAGGGTGGTGGGTGTAGATGGTGGGTGAGGGTGAGGGGGTGTGGGTGCTGGGAGTGGGTGGGTGGAGATACTGGTGGGTGGGTGTGTGTATACATTGGTGGGTGGAAGTGGGTGGGTATAGACACTGATGGGTGGGGGCAGGTGGTGAGGGCTCCCGGGCTATCCCCTGATTAATTTCATTGCCATCTCCCGAGAGTGAGGCTTGAGAAGGAGTCCCTGAGCTCCTGAGCAAGAGGGGAAGGGATTGGATTAGTTGTCTGACATGGGGAGAGGAACTCACCAGCCTCCAGCATGATTGCCTAGGGGCGTGTGGTTTCACGTGAGGCTAGGGTGAAAAACAATTTATGTGGCAACTTAGCATGGATGTGCCCTTCCCTTTGCCTCACATAAGGGTGAGGCCTCAAGCACATGGGTGACAAAAAGTCAGATTCATGTTTTATCAGACATGCTTGACTAAGACAAAATTTCTCATAGTGCTGGACTTTGCAAGTACTAATTCAATATTTACGTGATATTGTGAGTGTAGAAATATTTTGAAGTCTGTCACTCATTGACAATCAAGCATATTTTCCACGTTATAGAATGAATAAATTTAACATTCTCTGTATTAAATGAAAGATGGTGATGATTCCTGGGAAATTAAAAATCCTTTAGATTTTCCCAAAGGAGTGCTAACATTGTTCTAAGTATTGATAATACCCTGTATTATGTTACTTACCTCTGGTTCACCTCATTAGTGTATTTTCTTTTTTTGTTTTTGAGTTGGAGTCTCATTCTGTTGCCCAGGCTGAAGTGCAGGCTCACAGTCATAGCCACCACAGCCTCGACCTTCCAAGTAGCTGGAACCACAGGAATATGCCACCACGCCTGGCTAATTTTTTGATTTATTGTAGAGACAAGCTCTCACCATGTTGCCCAGGCTGGTCTTGAACCCCTGTGTTCAGGTAATCCTCCCTTGTTGACCTCCCAAAATGTTGGGATTACAGGTGTGAGCCACTGTGCCCAGCTCATTAGTGTATTTTCTTGCTCTCATTGGAGTTCTTGAAACATTTTATTGATACAAATTGAGAGATATTTTCTATTCACCTTTGAATCCCCAGCAGAAATAGAATTTTTAATACACAGTAGGCACAAATACACTTCTGTCGAACCAGTTGAAAAAAAATATCACTGGTCACTTCTCACAATGCTGTTTGTCTTCAGACTCCTTCTGTGGTCTTGTTGTGTTCTGCTCACGTTATGGGGGAAGGACCACTTGGCTACCTGGGCAGGCTTCTGCCCTTGTGAAGGAAGGTTGGAAAATGCGTGGAAGGAGGAAGGGGCCATGTTTCTCCCTCTCCTTCACATTCGGTTTCCTTTCCTGTCGATGTCTTCACGTTTCATCCGACGGCTCCTCCCTCTGCAGCCCCAGCTTTTGTGAGGAGATCCCAGCTGTGACTTGAGCTTCTGCCAGGGAAGTCTCATCTTCTGGCCTCTGGAAGTCCCATCATAGACCTTCCAGTCCTGCATGCTCCTAATGCCTAATGCCTGCTCCTCTCCTGTGGTGGCCTCATTTTCCCGGTCAGGTACTCAACCATTCCACCCTTGAATAACCAAATCCATGGGTTGATGGATTCCCTGGATTTTCTCTATTGTACATATCAGGAGTGGTATCTGCTTTCTTGGCAGGAAACTGACTGACCCACCTACCTTACTTGGTGGCCCTCTAGAAGTAAAACCATCTAGAGCTTTAGCGCAGTAATGTGCGTTAACTCAAAATTTAGCATTCCCCATTCTTTGAAGATGCCTTGCGTCAGATTCACCTTTCTTGGCTTGAAGCACCGCCCACCTTCCAAACTCACATGCACTTTTTCCTTCTTCCTTGAAGGAAACAAGGTTCTCGTCCCTCTGCCTGATATATTTTTTATCCCCTTTTACACATAAGCTACTCCTACA